ATATTAAGTCGGTGCCCAAGTGCCAAATAGGAGGAGGAGAGCTATGGTTTCAAACATATCCTGACAAGGTACCTCCAAATATAATAGTAATAATAACAATAGGTACAAGGCCTCTTAAGGGCGGGTTCAGCCTCAGTGATGCAGCTGCAGAACTCCCACCGACTTTGGCAGGAAACTGGCCAGAGAAAAGCCATTTCAAATACGGTGCTCTTCTGTGATAAGAAGCAGCATTTTCGATCCAGCGGCATCAGGAGGCACACATCCCTCAGATGGGGATGAACAGCGATAGCACAGCAAGCTACATGGGATACCACGGCCACTTCCTTTTCTTCATAGTCCAGCTAACCCCTTAACAGCACCTGTGCGCCTTTGTATCATTGTAAGGACGTGCAATGCATATATATATATATGTCAGAAGGAGGCTATGAGTAGCACATATTTAATTTTACTAATTCTGACAACGTATCCCGGCCAAACAAGCACACAAATGCATGGCTGAAACACTCTATAGGAGAACCATGCATTTCGCTGACAATCAGAGAATGACTTTTTTGAAATTTGCTGTTTCAGGTTATGCTTCAGCCTATAGAGAATTCAGTCAACACACTAAATTCTTTTAACCTAGCACATACAGGCGTTCCCTTTAACAAACTCACTCAGCTGCTGCTCTGTACCACTGTGAACCTCCTCCGTCAAATCACAATTGCTTTAATGAGAAAGCAGTAGCTCTAAACCTACGTGTCTGACAAACAGATCCTTAAAATATTTTTTACCGTTTTGTTCAAGACGGCGAAAGAACACATGGTATCCATAAGCTACGAAATCTGAAAAACTCTAGCTCAGCATTTATTGTGATCATCTGCTGGGAGACGTGGCCACCCAGGGAAAGAAAAACATGATAAAATAAAAACTGTCTTAAAACACAAAAGGCCCAGACATGATTCGCTATGCGGTTACATAAGATGATAGGGCCATAATACTGCTTAAGTCGTTTTACAGCAGCATGACACCAGTGTAACAGGGGACGACTCAAGCCCTGTGTTTTCATATTAAGTCGGTGCCCAAGTGCCAAATAGGAGGAGGAGAGCTATGGTTTCAAACATATCCTGACAAGGTACCTCCAAATATAATAGTAATAATAACAATAGGTACAAGGCCTCTTAAGGGCGGGTTCAGCCTCAGTGATGCAGCTGCAGAACTCCCACCGACTTTGGCAGGAAACTGGCCAGAGAAAAGCCATTTCAAATACGGTGCTCTTCTGTGATAAGAAGCAGCATTTTCGATCCAGCGGCATCAGGAGGCACACATCCCTCAGATGGGGATGAACAGCGATAGCACAGCAAGCTACATGGGATACCACGGCCACTTCCTTTTCTTCATAGTCCAGCTAACCCCTTAACAGCACCTGTGCGCCTTTGTATCATTGTAAGGACGTGCAATGCATATATATATATATATATAGAACTAATATAAATAATTATATATTTATTTCAATATTTTATGTTTTTTGCTTAGCTGAGTTGCTGCCTTGCCCCTGAGGAGCTTTCATCATCACATTAAAGTTCTTATTTTTGCTCTAACTGACAGATGCCAAATTATCTATAAAGTCTGGCAGCCAACTACAGCTATCTGTTCTCTACAGATTTATTATACATCATTGATCCTCTTGCATCATTGAGCTAATTCACCTCATTCTTGAGTATAAGGCACTGGATCAAAAGCAAACCACAGGTCAGATACCTGAATCACCATCCTGACAGACTGCTAGGGAGGAAGGGGCCAGGCCAAGGCCAAAGCTCAACAAGTGAGCAAACCAGATCCACAGATAAACTCCTTTTGCCAGCAATCGTAACGGATTGCAGCTAGGATGTATTTTCTAGACACGAAACACACTCAGAACCAACTAACTCACTTTTGCTGCTGCAGAGTTAAAAAATAAAGACAAGGAACAAAATACACAAAAAATGCACTGCAGTCACTGAAAAAGGAACTTTGATTCAGTATTGCAATTCAGTGCAAAATGCATAGAAACAGGACCCGTAGTATGGTAGCCCTGATGTCCATGCTATTTACGAGTGGGGTAATTGCCACAGACTTAATCGCCTCTTTAGCAGGTGCAAGGTCTGGAAGTGCTTCAGACTGAAAAGTGCTATCAAGGACAAGGCAGCGGCAGGGGTAAGGAGAGCGGATAGCACGATGGCACATTGGAAGGGTGCTTTTCAAACCATTTGCCGAAAGAGTCTATAACCTTCGGCAATGCAGTCTGAAAGAAACGGCTCTGCACAGACAAAAGCACGACTGAAGTACTAGAGTCACAATAAAACTAAATGCAAGTGATCCTGACAGAGATCGCAATATTCTTTCTCCCTATAGCATTACATCATCAATGCTAACTTCATTTCTCTCTGGAAATGCCATATCTATCTGTTATAGTTATCTGCAATTAAAGTACACTTCTATTTTTCCCAGGGTTCTTGCTTCAGGAATTTGACAGTATTTATGGGGCTTTTGCTCCTGATCAATCCCATGTTGCCATCTGTCTGCTCCTGACAAATCCCATTCAGGAGCAGCTCCCTGGAAGGGGTTAGAAACCCTCAGGGCGAGTAGATGGATGTCATTTACTTGGGTTGATCTGCTCCCCGGACTCCCTGTTGGCTTCTCTTGAGCAGGTGAATGTTCAGTTGGTATAAATCAGCTCAGCTCTCTTGGGACTCATTTACATCAACTGAGAATCCAACCCCAAACAGAGAGCTAATTTCCCATGTATGAGACTGTCAGCCTGCATCCCTTGCTGAAAGGACCGTCATCAGCAAAAGAAGAGCTACAGCACAAAAAAGTGCTGGAACTGCTATTCTGGCAGCTTTTTCACAGGCCAGGTAAAACAGCAGGCAGATGCTCCTCACCAACTCGTGTCCGTTTGTTGGGCTCGGCAACAGAGACGGGAGCTACCTTTTGGCCTGAAGATAAGACAGCGCCTCACAATTATTGTAAAAGACAAAACAACCAAAATAGAAGACACCAGGAGATAAAAACAGTATTATTGAGAACTTGGGTGGAAACTCTCTTTGGAACAAGAATTCTCTGTTAAATGGACACAAACGTGGCTTTGTTAAACAGTATTTAAAAATAAGAATTCAGGACACAACAAAACTCCAAAAGTCTGTTTAGGGTTTGCCAAGCCCATCAGGTTCAGGAAAAATTTAAATATAAGAAAATATAGGTGCCTATTAAAGAAATTTGGGTGACCAGTGTAATTAAAGGGAAAATAAAGAGATGGCACCACTTAGTTTCATAGCAGCATAAACTATTAAAAACACAAACACTAAAGGATTCAAGAAAGACACCATTCACTGGTAACGTGTGAGATTATACAAAGAACTACCTCTGCATCGGCACAAGTACCAAAAGTTAGTGAATCAAATTGAATCTCTGAGCTCTGCCAAAGATGCCTAGACAACTATCAAACTAAAAGCTGGACTTAAACAAATTTGGGGTTATATTCTTCCACTCTTCCTCACGTAAAGTAACACTAGAAGCGATACTTCATTCCCTTAGTAGTCCCCTCCACTTCAGCACTGTGTGTCACTCTGAGAAGTCACTAATCAGTTGTAGCTTAAGGGTGGCTGAATCTGCCCCCACCCCATTTTTGCATCTTTGTAAAAATACATCCAATTCTTCCAAAATGGACCTTGCAGTGAAAGAACTGATCTACTCAAACCTAGCACATTTTCTGTGCACAATGATGGCGTTTCCCTTCATTGTACAAATCCTTCTATCCTACCCCGACGCTTGACTCCAGAGGTAATATTCTTTGAGGACAACGATGCTGGAAAGAGGCCTGCAGCAGCCCGCGCGGCGCGGCGCACTCTTGGCAAGTGGGCAGCCAGGAAGGAGCAGAGCTAAGGATGTAAAGGTAAATGTAAATGCAACTGTGCAGCCACAAGACCATGACTACACAGGATCAAGTGGGCTTTGCGTGCTACAGCTGTATGGTTGCAGCCCTATAAACAGATTTGTGGATTAACAGTACAAAGCAAATAGCTAGGACAAGAAAGAAAAGTGGAATTCAATGTTCACTGAAATTTTACTTTTTCCCAAAGCATATCCAGCTCTAATTTGCTTTTGGTCTTGGAGATACAAGAGGAAAAATATGCAAAGCTGGCTACTTGTCCCAGCTGTAAGACTGCAAAACAAATGAGAGATTTGAATAAGTTTACTTAATTGTTATCAGTATTAAAGGCACCTTAAGGGAATCGTCCTTAGAAGAGAATAATTTGTAGTAGATAATAAATTACATTTTCCTCTGTTTCCCTCCCTGGGAAAAACCTATTAAGACTTTATAATTAAAACTCCTGAACACAGTTCAACTAAATGTTTTAAATTGAAAAATAGTCTATTTTTGAAAACATCTTTTTTTTTTTTTTCATGAAAACAGTGTTTGGTCTCCTGAGAAACGTTACTGAAGATTATTAACAGACGTTCTTCATCAAAACTGCTAAACGAAACGTTTCTTTACTCGCTGAGGAGCTTGAAGCAATAAGATTTTGGCACCTATTTCCATTCCAATTTGAAAATACTAGCCAAACAGAAAAATGACTTTCTCTAATCTCTTTTAATAACAGTGATGAGGACTATGTGGAAAAACACAAAATGTGTTCAGGCATGTGTGCGAGCCACAAAGCTGACCCTTTTCTGCAACACCCCACACTGATTAGCACGACCACTCCACACCGACTGGGAGACAGCTTCCTTCCTGTACAGGGTCTTGGGGATTTTTGATTTCACTTTTAGTTTACATCACTGGAAGAGTAATTTGATTCCATACGTTCATATGCATTCACAATGACAAGAGACTCATAAGCTAAAAACAAAAGATCACCACTATAGCTACTGTCAAATCCTATCTCTACAGGTTAGCATCAGGTTCCTTGGAAGAGTGAATTATTAATTATGTTCTTATAATAATTTAAGCAAGAACAAAATGAAAAATGTTTACTCACTGATGTGTATAGGTATCCCTCGCTGTTCATTGCTAGGTACAATTTTGTTTGAACCCCCTGAATCGCCACCACTCGTAAACCCACAGGTATGAGGTTAAACAAAGCTAGGAGAGAAAGGAGATGGAAAGCAAAATTAATCCTTCAAAGCATGAAGATTAGATAGAGTATTAAGCCATAATTACTAGAACCAAATAAAAAAATACTCATTCATGCAAATATTAATTTCTATAGGTGCTACAGAACAATGCTACTATCTTTGTCTTATATAGCAATTTCTACTAATAGCTCAGAAATTATCTACAGAGGGTATCAACACATTTCCCCCATTTTGAACGTGGTGAATTGGAGGCACAGAGAGTTGAAATGACTTACCCGCTTCACAAGCGGAATCCAGCATCTGCTGAGTAGAGTTAAACATATTTAATTTGTTTTTGGTTTGTTTTTGGGCTTTTTTTTTTTTTCTGCTAAGAGTAAATGTAAAAATAAAGAAAATCCCAAACCAACCAAACAGGAAGCTTTTTGAGAGGATCAAAACTTTTCTTTTTTTTTCGCAAATTCATGTCCAACTCCGTAAACATTCTTTACCAAAAGGAAGGAGCAAGGAAAAATTCAGAAAAATTAAAACGTCATTAACATCTCAAAATGTTTCAAAACTCATCTCTTATTATTTTTGAGAGAAGAATGAATTTGAAAAAACAGGGTTAAATAACTTCAAAATGAAATGAAATGATAGCATATTCTTTAGATCAAGCCCTAAATCTGTGCACTCAAAATTAAGCTGCCTCAAATGTTCTACTTGCATTTATGCTTCTATACACGCTAGCAGTGGTAGCATATATAAGTAGAGAAACCTCTCTTCAAAAAATGAAAATACACGTTTGTAAACTGGCAAATTAAGAAAAAATAAGTAAAGCTCTGCCATAGCTTAGATTCATGGCTATGTCAAAATTGAATACAAGTAATAATCAGCTCAATACAATACTCTGTTCGATACATATGATTAAAAATAAGTGAGGGGAGTTGAGAACGTTTTTAAGAGCTCTTATCATAACCCAAAGCATCTTCTACCAGACTCTTGTATAAATGCAGAGTTAGGATGAGGTAATGCTAAACTGACTCTTAATTCCAATGGTTTATTACTTGGCCGTAAAACTCTGGCCTGCTTCAGGCTGAATTTTGGTATTTATGGTGACTGTCCAAAGGCAATTTAAAATTGAATTATGAATTTGAAATATTTTTCTTATTATTTGCAAAAGCAGACACTAAGAATTATGACCCGTTATAAATTCCTTTCTCAGCCTGACAAACCCCAAATGATCGTATTTAATTAAAAGAAAATTTGCAGCCTACTAGCATCCAACACAGCTCTTAAATTCTGTGGGGCTGTCAAGAGTGCATTAAAAAGAAGAAAGAGCAAACGTATCAACATCCTACGCTTCCAGAAAGGCACGGCCAGAAGCTAGTACTGTGGATTGGGGACCACTAGCTAAATTCTGGTGAAGAGAGGCGCAGCACCCCTAACTCCGGCACAAAAGGGTCTCTTCGTTGGAGCAGCCAGCTGGCTCCCTGTGCTGCCC